CAAATACAAAAAATTTAAACAAACACACAGATAACAGAATTAGAATTGTTTATGTTATGCTCCAAATATTCACAAACTAAAGAAAAGAATTATTCATAAGATATAAAGACAGCCTATTTTTAAAACTAATTCTATCCTCTTTAAGGCTTTGAATGGTTATGGGCAATTTGTTGAATAGTTTAATAGTGGTAAACATAGTACCTTTCTGAAAAGCAGAAAGATTTGAGTTTGGCAAATATAATTGCTTTCGATTTCTTGTATTCAAACCATGAACATCTAAACCTGAACAAAATTTAGTTTGATTATCAATCACAAACATCCTCAACAAGAGAAGGTATTCACATGACAATGGCAGTATATTCGATTTCTTAAAAATAACTTTCCTCTTAAAAAGAAAAATTTAAACATATGTTTGGATCCAGTGTCAAAAGTAGAACAGTTTCATTCCATTGTAAAAATTGGGAATGTCTGGATGATGATGACCTGGGTTATGACACCATGTGAGCTTGCAGCAGATACCAACATTTGGAGGAACATGCTCAGTTCCTCCAAAACTTTAGTATCCACTTACCAGCACATAATGTCACCATATAACATACACCATGTCACTGCCAATTTTATGGACTTGTTATTTTGCATACACACCACTGAAAACAACAAATTTAGAACTGAACTTTAGTCTTCATAGTATAATGAAAGGGGGCATGCACTAGCATAGTTGGTTGAGGCATTACTTAGCAATGGGTCTACATACTACAATATTATTTTGTAAAACTTAATATTCCCTGCCATAAATATCCATACTTAATTAAATTTACTTTCAATTTCTTATATACTTCTAATGTGGAACACACATGACCAGTCTTGAAAATACACAAAGACATTCAAACCCAAATATTGGCACTGCCAATGGTTGTATGTCTAGAATACGATGTTATGTTCTCGTCATACTGCTATGCAAGACTTTTCATATGTTTTTCATCTGGTATATAGCATTCGTACACAGCCACCAAGCTGCCGCAATAGCTCAGTTGGTATGGTGATAAATGAATGAATGGTCTACAAACTGGACAGCTGAGGAATCAGGATTCAGTTACCCACAGGTGCAAGAGATTTTTCTCTTCACCACAGTGTGCAGATTAGCTGTGGTGCCTATCCAGTCTCATGTACAGTGGGTAATGCAGCCTCTTTCCTCAGATATAAAGCAGGCACCTCCATGTAGCACCAAGTTTAAGAATGGACAGAGCTATTCCTCCAGTTCCCCATATATTTTCATGGTGTGGTATTTAATTAATTAATCACAGGACAAATTTTGCCTTTTTTACAACCACAAATGTCAATGAAGCTACACAGAGTTGACAGCTGATGCACGGAAATTAAATGAAGCAGATATTGTTAACAGCATCAGAATTAACAATAGATTCAATCCACTGAAATATCAACATAATAACTTGAGTGTTCTGCTTTAATTTATCTGCAGAATTTAAGTATTTATTCTTTAATTGGCTATTTAGCAACATTGCTTGTACCAAGATTGTAGCATTGGATGATTAATGAACATGGAGCAATTGGTGGAATGAGGCTGTGGTCATGAAATATACATGTGTAATTCAAACAGAAATCTTACAAAAATAACTGTGTCAATTAACTTGTTAATATTGTACACATTAGTTTCATAATTGTTTGTGCATTTATATTGTTGTTTATTTGTCTATCTGTAAACCATTTGGAAATACAGTCAAGTAGTATCTTATAAATACAGAACATTTTAAATGAATAACATTGCATTGTTATCTGTTACAGCAAGCTGAGAATTTTGTGCTTGGTACTTTAACAATTAATGTTCATTCATTCATTCATTTGATTTTATTCTGATTAAAATACATTAATGATTATGGCATAAACTTATTATAAATATAGCTTATTCTATATATGTCAGGTGGCAATACCTAATAACCTAAACTTTAAAATATACTATACTATAATATTACCTGTTCTTGGTTAGAACATGTCCTTTTTTTATTGCTAGTGAGGTGGGACTAAGTCCCTTGTACTGCGGCCACTTCTGGCCTATTGTACGAGCCCCAGATGATAGGTGAGGGTTACTGTGGAGCAATTGGTGGAATGAAGATTGGCAGGGGAAACCGAAGTACTACGAGAAAACCTGCCTCAGCGCCTCTTTGTCCACCAGAAATCCCACTTGACCAAACCCGTGATCGAACCTGGGCTGCCGTGGTGGGAAGACAGTGATTAACTGCTTGAGCTATGGCATGGCCTAGAACATGTCCTAAGGATGAATATAAATCAAATCTCACATAAACTGCTGGAATGTAACATGAGAGGAAAAGGAAATACAGTGTGGGATATCAGTTCCAAACTTGGAGAGACAACCCATGTAAACTTCTATAACAGATATTTATTGCTGTTAGAAGAGCATACAGCAACTGGTGAGGTATAGTGGGGCCCTGAAAAGGGCCGTATCTCTAAGGAAGGGTGTGCCTGATGAATGCCACAGTGGGCTGGCAGCCGGGCGAGTGCGGTAAGTGTTGGCAGCGGACTTCTGCAATGGGTCTAGATGACTGCTAATGGAGTCGGCTGATAGTATTGCTGCTAGGGGACTCGGTGTTGCTGTGTGTGCTCCAGATGAGTCGTCGCAAGGTAAGTATAGCTCTGACTGATTGATCAGCACATCAGAGGTCTGCATATTTATTTGCTGTCTCTAGCAGCACCCAACCCAAAGAGCATTGGCGCTGCTGTGGTCCACACTGATTGGCTAGTGTTATGGTAGGCTTCCACAACAGCAAGACAAAAGAAACAAAGAACAGCAATCTTAAAAACCAAAGACAGAGGTCATATAGCATAATCTGCAAAGTTGTTGATCCTGATATTTTATATAGGCGTGAAACTTAGTTTTTTGAAGGATGAACACAGATTCAAGGATTTTAGAGAATGAAGTGCTGAAATGAGTTGCCTCTAATGCTAACATAATATAACCTAGACAATTCTATACTTTTCAACTCCTGGTAACAATGTAACAATGTGTAAAGGTAAAGTTGTCCTGTGCTTAATTAAACACCATTCCAAGAAGAGATATTGGAAAGTCGAGGTATAGTTCCACAATTCTTGATTTCAGCACTAGATGAAGGTGCATGGTCAGCCTCACTCATCAGCTGCCTTACCCCTGCAGCAAAGAGCTCCAGGTACTCACTGGATAGGTCTGGATACTGTAAAAGTAAAAGTAAAGCTATCCCTGTACCAGGCCATGAAGGCCCATAGGGTTGTGAGACGTTGAGGGTCCCACATTATCTAGACAATCAGCTCAAAGATGGTGGTAAGTTTGTCAGCCTTATGGGCTTTACTCCCCAGGAAAATTATTTAATTCCTGGTACTCATTTCTGTTAGAGGCTGAGTAAACCCCAGGGCCTAGTGTGGCTGGAAGGATTAGGTCAAATGAAAAAAATCCAATGACCTCATCGGGATTTCAACCCGTGACCTTCTGGCTTGTAGCGTAGCACCTCAACCACTACACTACCGCATGCTCCCATCTGGATACTGTACAACAGAGAAAAATCCCTATTCCTGTCAGGAATGGAACTCCATCCAACCTGTAGTCCACTGCTGCGCCAACTCAGCTATCCCAGCCGATTTCAATTTCCTGATTCATAAAACCTACACGTTTCATGAGATAGTCAACAGAAATTAGGATTCTATGGATTTCTAGACACACTCACTATAAACGAACTGTTTTTATATGCTGCTGTTGGTAAATAGATATGATTCTTCATAATTTGTATTCATATAGATTCCTACTGTGTTAAATTTCTCAGTTACAAGATCAGTTTCACATGATCACATTTATAACTATTAATGTATAAAAAGAACAAGTCACATGAAATCCAGGTCCATACAAAATTTCACATGCCTGCTTCCAGTGATTCACTGTGAAACAAAAGATTAACATATGTTGGTATCATTGATTTGAAAGGCACCGTAACCTCTATTGGCATCATAATCATTCCATTTATGTGAAAATATTGTATTTGGTTTTAAAGTTATTAAAGGTTGCATGGTGGGGAGGGCGGGGATAGACAGATGGACAGATATGATATAAGAGTAGTAACATATTCATAAGCCTTACAAAATAAGGGAAACAGATAAAAACTCTCGGTTGAATTTTCATTTTTTATATTTTGTATTCAGAAATAATGGTAAATATTTAAAAGGGTGAGATAAACATTCCCATTTTTTTAAAAATGTTAAAAGTGTTATTCACTTTGAAATAAGGTCATTCCAGAACATTTGTCTATTTACATAGAAAAAAAACAGCAAAACTGAGCTACTATTTGGAGGCGGTGATCTTGTACAACTTGTCTGCATACTCGATGAACTGTTCCGTGGCTTCACAGTGTTTCTGCAGATTCTCGCTAACAATGCCATAACCGTAGTAGGCACCAGCAATAGCTCCAGCCATGCTAGCTATTGTATCAGTGTCACCCCCAAGAGAGATGGCATACTGGACTGTACGTCTGAAGGGATTGTCTGTCTGTAAATAAAAATGTGTAAAATGTCAGATTTCAGGTTCTCATGGCAATGATTATCTTGTGGGATATGATATCTGACATTTCACAGGAGCATACTGCCTACATCTTTAGGGTTGAAGAGTAAGCATGCAAGCAAGTACAGTTTAGTGCATAACGGTAATTACATAAAAACAATACATTTTTCAAATATCTCAATGATCATCACTTGGAAGATTTGGAAATTCATTGCTGTTAATTTAAAAATATCTGTGTTGTATCTGCATGTTACATAATACTGAGTTATCCTCAATTATGCAGTCAAATCTCAAATCACGTGACCACTCCTACAAATGATGATATAGACAAACAGCCAAATTCAAAAGTGCAGTGGATCTTCTAACCAATCGTTCACCAAAATTTTCAAAATGCATTCAAATATGTAATTTATTATAAGGACCATTTACTACATTATCAAGTACAAAAGTGACCTTACCCTTACAACAAACAACAATATTCATACCAAGTTTCATGGAAATCTGTTGGTTCAAAAGTTACTGGTAGGAGTGGACACACACATGAACATGGCGATTTCATAATCATATTTTATATTATAAATTATGTAAAATAGGCTATAAAGAGGATAATTTCATACACTGATTTACATACATCTATTTCTGGTATAGGTGTACAGGCCCTGAGGAAACAGAAGATGGCAGTGGGAACAGAATACAGAGCAGCCACACTGGTTCCCAAAGTTTTCTCAACCTCTGCATCATGTGTATCTTCCTTTTTGTCCAGAAGGACCTGCATCTTCTTTAGCTGTGTTTGGTAGGGATATGGGTCATCCAGGCCTAAGCTATAAAAAGAGATACCTTATATGGGTAGGGGCATGCGTTACTATTATTGAGACACTATGCTACAAGCTGGAAGGTTGTGGGTTCGAGTCCCGATGAAGTGGATTTTTTCCCAATCTACCTAATCCTTCCAGCTGCACTATAGCCCTGGGGGTGACTCTCTAACAGAGATGAGTACCAGGAATCTTCCTGGGGGGTAAAGGGTGGCTGGCACGTAAGGCTGACAACCTTATCGCCAACTGTAAGCTGACTGTCTAGATAATGTGGGACCCTTAACATCTCACAACCCTTTGGGCCTCCACGGCCTGTTAGAGGGACAGCTTTACCTTTTTACATTATATATAGGTATGCTATGTTACAGCAGTAAAGAATTTACTTCTTCATTGCTTACGTTCTTGTCTTTGATATAGACACAGATTTTCTTGGGATATGGGAATTTCCTATCCTTCCCAAACGTTGAAACCATATTATTTGACAGGTTTAGCAATTTCATTATGCGAGTCTTCACCCACTGGTTAAACTATAATACACTCTGTAAGATTTGAGGTTTTCATGGCTATACACTCCTCTATGTGATAATTCATTACAATTTCATCTATATTAACCTTTAAGTGCCGAAGTGCCCCGTTTGTGCCAGTCATTAGTAAGGTCGTTGTGGCCAGTCAGGCATTTAAACTCCGTTAGTGGAATCGCGCGCACACGCCGCTAGTAGAAGCACATGCACAGTCCTAAATATTTATTTTTAAATGTAGTAATTACCAGACCGACTTGAGTAAAACCCTAATAGAGGAATTAAAATGATACCTAAGTGAACAACAACAAAAATATTATACGTATGAGTTACGCCGAATCTCATCCACGAGCCAGTAATTTTATTGCAGATTCTGCAGATAAATATGTAAAAATATATAGTAAAATTCGATGTACATACCTTTTTGTTACTGTCTGCTTGATGTATATATAGGCTCCACCCCCTGCATCATCTAACTAAATCTCGGCTTTGTATGGTATTCTTTGAAGCACCTGAGAATGCAAAGGCCCATGTCACATTTCTCGCACTTTGTGTGTATTCTTCTCCTCTTCCCACGTGCAGAACAGACGCGGCAGTTCAGTCTCTTGTCTGAATGGTTTGGCCAGTCGACTGGCCTCCTCTAGGCGATATATTGTAGATGAAAGAGCAGGAGGTCGACCTAAGGGCCCCTGGGGGCGAGGGCGACACGTTGCGGCATGCTCCAGCATGTTGCGCACAAGGGTTAGACGAAAGTCTCTATGTGATATTTTCGCACCACAGGATGACAGCACAATGAAACTGTTCAGAATCGTCAGATCTAGTAAATGGAAGAATAGTTTCTTCGTCCATTTCCAAGTCCGACGGCTAATGGAAAAACTGTTTGTCATCCTGTCCGCTTTGTCAATATATCCCATGTGCATGTTGTGATCTGCAACAATTGCAGGCTTTATTGCATTTCTGTGTTCATCACAGAAATTGCCTTCTGCTGGAGGAGCGTGCATATTAGTCAACATATATACATCTCGTTTGTCTTTCCAAACTAATACTGTCATGTCACCCCTCACCCTAACCCATATGTCTCCTTTCTTCAATCAAAGTTGTCTGTTGCGTATGTCTTGTGGTAGGCCCTTCCAATTTGGTCTGACTGTCCCGCAGCAGCTTATTTTTTTCATCATTAGTTCGTCAAACAAGTCTGGCGATGAAAAGAAATTGTCCATGTACAGTTTGTTCCCAACCCCCTCTACTCTTTTGCAGAGGTCTCTGACCGTTGCATGCGTCGCAATCACTTCTTGGTCAGCGCGTGTTCTGTCTTTGCCTAAGTAAACGTTCATGTCGTATGTATAGCCTGCTGAATCACAGAGCTTGAAGATTTTGATTCCGAAACGTTTGTGTTTCTTAGGAATGTATTGTCTGAAAATAACCCTCCCTTTGAAATTTACTATTATTTCGTCAACATCCAGATGCTCCGAAGGATTATAATATTTTTCATATCTGTCATTTAGTGTGTCAAAAATAGTCTGAATTTTCCATAGTCGGTCATAATTGTTGGCTTGTCTGTCAATTCCTGCATTGTTGTCTGTAAAGTGAAGGAAGCGAAGAATATGAAGAAATCGGTCGCGTTTCAATGTCTTACCGTAGAAAGATGTAACTGCTCAGCAGTCATCCAGTAGTCTCTTATTCGGTCTCTAATGTCATGGCCCATTTGAATAATGATCCCTAAAAAAAGAAACATTTCAGAATCGGTAATGTCAGGGAGTGGAGAAGGTCCGTCTTCGAGACTGTCGAGATATTGGTGATAATATCTGTTAGTCTTCCACCAGCAGATGTATAATTCCTGTGAAGAATAACATGAACACGCAGAGTGGAGTGGAATCCTTATTCACATGTGGAGCTTTGTTTAGATTTATCCCCACTGCTCCACCAGAAAAATTATTCGCACCCCTTCTGCCATGCTGTTGTGATCGTCCCCATGGCGATGGTGATGACGACAATGATGATAGTGATGATGGTGGTGGCTGCACGAGTTCTTCATCATCCTCATCTTCATAGCCCCAATCATTATCTTCATCTTCTGTGCAGCAGTCCGAATCAGAATCGAATATCAGTTGCCTTTCAATTTCATAATTTTCCAAACGACGTTTCATTGCCATGGTAAGATGAAATGAGACTACAGTACTCGATTTCACTATCACTACACAGGAAAGAGACGACACTTTGTATCTCAGCCACGAAGCAACTGTTTGTTCATGACCCTAGAAAGGGCAATAATATCTTGCAGCTATAACGGAAGGTTTTAGCACTGAAGAAGGGACCCCTCTAGCTTTCTCTTGAATAGCCATTCTTTCATTCTTCTGTCCTTTAGTAAAAGATTCGAAAATCTGAAAAGTGTAAGCAGTGCTAGCAGAAGAGCAAATGACTTTATTGCTTCCACCTGTTTTATGACACCAGAACACTGCTAAAATTTTGAAGTGTTACAAACAGAAATTAATTTATAATGCAGAATAACTCTGTGAAGAACTGGGAAACCATTTTTGCAGTACGCATCAAAATTAAAATAAAATAAAATAGGATATAACACTTTGTATAAAAATTTTCAAATCTTCCGTTGTAATACGCGACAGTATGTTTTTTGCTGATACACACAAAGTTAATTCCATCCATTTATCACAAAAATTGAGTTAGATACAGCATTTTAAACACAATGCTTAAAATTGATTAAGCGCCCTAAGAGAAACGGACATTTAAACCCAGAGTGGCAACGGGCATTTAAATAGACTCTGGCCAGCTCAAGCTTACCACCATTTCCGAAGTCCGGCGTTTAAAGGTTAAGTTATGGATCACTTTAAATTTCTACTTTGTATCAGTTTCCATCTTTATTGTGGAATTTTCCAAGCCTAATTAATCATTCTAACAAGCCATGATAATGGCAATATTCATCAGTTAACTGATTAAAAAGCAGGGCCCTTTCCACCTATTACATTCTGTTGTGTGGTGGCTGCATGAAACTTGGTTTTGTTCACTCTAACAAAATTACATTCTCAAGAGGGGAGGGGGTTCAGTTTGCAGATTGACATGTATGAGAGGGGGTTGAATGTGTAGGGTTTATCATGGTTAAAGACCAGTTCTACTTCACCTATACAACAAAGGCATAACACTCACAAAATTTTGGTCAAATGGTTCAAAATGTTGAAAGATGAGACACACAGAGACAATAACTTGAACTTTTAAGTTTACTTTCTTCCCTTAACAAAAAGCTAAATACAGAAAGAGGCAAAATGATGCTTACCCTTCACAGTCTTTCTCAATTTGAGACATCTTTTGTATTAGCTGAGTTGAAAAGTTGTGAACATCCAGTGTTTCCTTTGGGTCTAAGTGAAGACTCTGATGGACTGCAATGGCCTATTGGCAGATAGACGTTCCAGATACTAGCGATATCAATAACAGAGCAAATACAGCAGAATACCTTGTACTCAATATATGAAATACAAATTGCTACAGCTACCCTCAGGTCAGAGAAAAAATGCATATGGGTGGTTGTGGTGCTGGTGATTCAAGCCAGCAGCCTGCTCCTACATCTATGTATGCTGCACACCCCCTCATCAGGAGATCTCGTTCACCTCCCTGCCTTGGGAGAAGGGATTCATTTCATTACTATATATTGCTCCAACTGTTACTGTATCTGATGATAATAAAATATAATATTAAAAACTCCATGATTTTAGTCTGCAAGCGAACTACGAGGGGGGACCCAAAAATAACCGGAATTTATTTTTGTTATTTTTTATTTTTGCATTTTTATTGAACTGTATATTAGTCCTGGCAGAACGAACTCTTTGTGGACAATGCCATTCACATCAAAAAAACAAATCAACATTGTTTTCACATTGGATCGCACTTGACGCGCTTTCTTCGGTCGTGGTGAAGTTGGAGTTTTCCACTGGCTTGATGATTGCTTTGATTCTGGATCGTACCCGTAGCACCAAGACTCATCGCCAGTCACAGTTCTTTTAAGAAATTCTGGATCGTTCTGCACTTCACTCTTCAAGTCGCGGCAAACATTCACGCGGTTTTCTCTTTGGTCATCTCCGAGCAAGCGAGGAACAAATTTTGCAGACACCCGTCTCATGTGCAAACCTTCGGT